CAAAGTCAGCTGGTGCACACGTGATAATAAAATAAATACGATATTTACTATATGGGGCCGCCATCTTGAATGACGCATAAAACTAAATAAGAGACAAGTTGTGAAACGCGTTTTTCTGATTCTACAAATCAGGACAAAAATACCAATCTTTCACAAAAATACGGTTCGTTTGAGTTATATTAAGCCAACCGATAACAAAATTCGGCCGAATTCGTCGTTTTTGTGTGGAAAAATCCCTTGCATGTGAACATCTAATTACACGAAGAACCTAGAACACTAAGCCGGGGTATTTGAAACCAAAATTGTCATCTAAGCGTAAGGCCGTCGCTGCTGAGCTGGAATGCCAATTTTTAGTTTCAAATACCCCAAGAAATGTGAAATTGTCGATGACATGTTTTTTCAGATTTTAGGTTAGTGGACACTTCGGTTGAATACCCCATCTACATTTTATAAACATGAACAGCAATGAAATTTAATATATTAATATTTTTTTAAACCAATGAGCATACCTTCAATATCTAATAGAAAATCTCTCCAAAAGCTTATGATTTTCTGTTCTTCAGTTCTCCGGTTAGAACCCTCAGGGCTCAGCACTGACACCACAAACAAATCTTCAATTAACTTTGAAGTTAATACTGTTTCCTTAGAAATGAAAACATCCTTGAAAAGTCTGGGATTCCGTACCATACTGTCTAATACATTTAGGGTTTTCAGTCCATCTTTAAATCTGTACATGGAGAAATAATTATGACGTGAGCTGGTATGTCTCTTGAGGCTATCTGCTTCCCAAAACTATAATTCCTTTTCAGGCTGTGACTGTGCAGCAAGTAAACAAATTTTGGATTCTGCATGAATGCTATTTTACCATCAGGTCTTTAAGTAATTATTTATGAAATATGGGATCTCATTGTTCACAGCTAATATTAAATGTACAGTACTAATCGAGGCAAGGGAAAAATTAGTCCAGGCATGTCTGAGCAGGCAGACAAAACCTCAAATCTATGTTTGAAGTACATTAAATGGGAAATAGTAAAATGGATTGTATGTTTGTACACACGTTTTGTTAAAATCTGTTTAATGGTTCATGACGACTTAATGCCATATTTTTATATAAACAATTGAGGTCATGTATTGAACCTAATGTTATTAAACTCGTGCATATCTCCAGTGTTACATAATACAGGACAGAATGAAAATGCGTAATGTATGTACTCTTAACTTTTTTCATTGTGAGTGCTTTCTCTGAAGGTTGTTCAGAGTTGTTTGTACCAGGTCTAAATACAACCTGCATACTTGAGAAATTGTTGATGGCATGTTTTTTTTTGTTTTTTGGATCAAAAATGACATTGGTATGACATATTGCCATTATTATGCACATGAGTTACAAAATATTTCCCCCAAACTTCTGAAGTACCTTTCATATGCTGACCTAGTCCTAACAAGTACATAGAACTGTACAATGATGTCAATCAGTTTGTCCTTGGATTTAAGATTAGGGATAATATGCCCAGCACCTGAAACAGTTATCAATGAACTTGCTTTTTCTAATTCGGCACATAGTTTTTCTTCTGTATCAGTTTCCATAATCTGTGAAGTGAAATTTATATCAATTAATATAATATTACATTTATATCTATGGGTACGGTAAGATTGTTCGATAATAAATTTAACAATAAATGAACTAGTTCTTGCCTTGTTAATAATGATTCAGCTGATTATCAAAATTAATTAAATAATGTAGAGAATGCATGGACAGTAAATCTTTTGATGTTGTACCAAGCTATCAACTATGCAAAAGATTATGTTTGAGTAATGGCAGTTAAATATTACTTATGTTGACCACAGAATCCCTATGTAATTTTCAAGTAAGAATATGTTCTCCTTAACAGAGCAAGTATGTATTTAATAGCTGATTTTACACAATGGTATGTGATTGTTATATACAATAACAATACTAGCTGGACATATGATGTTATTGCAGGGATTCCACAAGGTATGCAAAAAAAAAAGAGTACAGCAGAAGTAAGTGACCATTTCCTCACTAATCACCTGATTAGCTCAGTCAATAGAACTATGGTACTTACGGTAGCTATAAATCAAAAGGAAACTTGGTTTGATTCTCGGGTATTGCCAATAAGGAAAATCTCTTCTAAAATTTAGGAGGAAGTTCTAGATATAGCTTGAACAAACATCCATGTGTTCCTGACTTACGTGGCAGTTATTCCCCAAGATAATGGCTATCAATACAAGTATTGAGATGTCACAAGTGTTTTTTAATAAGAATAATGTATGCATAATGTGCATGTAAAACGATTACCTTTAACATGAATATTGTGTTTACAAGACCATATCTGTGAGTGATATTTTACACTAAACGTCACAACTGTGGATAATATGCATAATAAGTGATAAATATTGAGTGAAAACATGAATAAACACTTACTGACAATAGTTGATCTCTTATTTCATAATCACCAATATCAGATATACTTGGTTTCACTTTGCTTAGCCCATGAACGAGGCTATTGTACAAGGTTTCTGAAAAAAAAAACAGGCCCTGGTCCCCCATGTACAAGAGATACTGCTATCATCCGTCCTGCTAGATAGTACCAGTCATCTTCCATAGCTGTAATGTAACATTCAATTATTGAGACTGTAATAAAAATGTATGTACAAATTTGTGCTAACAAAAAATTTAACATATAGCCAACATACCAGCTGTGTCAGCTTTTCAGTGTTCTTGTTACATACTGTCTTGTTTTAAAATGATTATTTTGTCTCACTGAATGTTACTTAAGGTAGAAGCCTAGTCATAATTTTTGACAAAATTGGTCATAAATCACATGACAATGTTCATTACTTTATTATGTACAATCATGAAGCTAATGTCCAATGGTACAATGAAATATCATTATTTTGTGTGTTACAGATAAGCTTTTCGAGAAAAGTGTCCTAATATTTCTTAAAAATTGCTATTTTTAGAACAATAGAACACATTTTAAAGAATAATGCATTTTTTTACACTTTTTAAAACCCCGATTTTTTAAATAATTCAGAACAACAAAAAGTACTTCATCATTAACAATATATGTCACCAGGCTAGATTTTGAGATATTGCATAATATCTCTGCCATAGGAACCTGTGGTAAAAGTGTTATAATACATGTTTGTAGTGTCAAAATGGCCACTTTCCACTAAAATACAACCATAAATTTCTCATAAAATGGCTGGTGACCCCCAACTTTTTTTTTGGTCAATATCCTTATATTGCCTTGGAGTACAATTTATTGCAGAATGAATAAATTCTGGGTTTTTTAATGTACCTTACCTTAACATAATCTATTTTTCTACATCATATTAAGGTTAATATAAACGTGAGGACTATGTTACTGACTATGACTAGTTTATAGTTTAATAATAAAAAAACACATAAATTACAGTAATAAACTCACCAAATGAATGCATTGATAACACTTTAGAGTGTTCAGGCCCATCAAATATACAGGAGTGTTGCAGATGGTGGATAATTAATCGTAAAAACTCGCGTTTTGGTCCACCTGTGTCTACAGCTCCTTCATCTTTACCAGCGTCATTTGTAAAGCGGATATACATGCGCTTCATTGGACAGTAAGATTTTCTTTGAAATCCTCTTATCGCACCATCCCAGACATCAGCTCTGTTTATGTTGAATTTACTGCTTATGTCAGGTTCATGGTAATTTATCTTTTCTTCTAATTGTTTTAACACTGATACTAAAGTTACACTTCCATCTTCTGCAGATTGTTGTCTAGAAAAGAAAAGATGAGAGAATCTGTAAAACGAATACTGTTGCATTAATACTGACAGTAAAAATTAAAAGATAATTATAGGTTTCAGTGTTATATGCGATAGTTTGCTTTGGATTATATTTATTCATAATAATGAGTAACTTCACCTTCCCCG